TTCACAAATTTCAAGGAGAATCCTTGTAGAATTTTGGCAAATTCACAAATTTTAAGGAGAATCCTTGTAGAATTTCAGCAATTTTGCAAAATTCAAGGAAAACCCTTCTACAACTTTGACAAATTTGCTAAATTGAAGGAGAATCCTTGTTGAATTCTGGCAAATTTGTGAAATTTAAGAAGAATCCATGTGGAATTTTGGAAAATTTGCAAAATTCAAGGAGAACCTTTGTACAACTTTGGAAAATTCACAAACTTCAAAAACACCTGCACAATTTTGACAACTTTGCAAAATTCAAGGAGAATCCCCGTTAGCCATTCGGCCAATTCACCAAACCCTGCGCCGACTTCGGCAACTTGGCCCAATCCCAGGAGACTCGGCCGACGCATCTGAACCCTTCAGAGCCGCTTCACCCAAATTCACTCTCGTCCCCCCCGCCAACCCGCCCACCCCGAGGACCCGCTGGTTGTGGGGGGGGGAGAGGAGGAGGAAGGGGGGGAGAGAAAGGGTCTCTCTGCCCCCCAACCCAGAGTTGTGGGCTGACCGCGGATGGTGGGGAGGGGGCAGAGTTTGGTCGGAAAGTGAGCCCGACGGCAGCGACTGGAAACCGGTTGCGGGAAGTGATCGGACTATCAAAAGAGGAGGGAGGGGAGTCCGACCGGAGTCGGGTTCGCTCCCGATGTGGGGAGAACCCTGCGAGGTTGACCCCCAAGGCAGCGCCCCCCCCCACACACGGCCCTCTCGGCCCCCCACCCCCCCTTCGCCCGCAATGTAGATGAACCGACGCTTCTCCAGCGCGCCGATGTCGTCTTCCAGCTGCTTCATCTCCAACTCCAGCTTCTCTTTGCGCAGCCTCTGCGGGATGGTGGTCATCTCCACCGAGAGGCTCTGGAAGTCCTTGTTCAAGTCCTCCCAGTTGGTCTTCAGGCCCTGCAGGGAAGGGGGGGGAGGACAGAGAGCGGAGGGTCCGGGGTCCATTTCGAAGGGATCCGCCCACCCTCTCCCTCCACACACACACACCCTGGGGCTCCGCTGCGGAGGAGGGAAAAACGGAGGGCGCCTTGTCCGGTTGGGGCGTGGAACGTCCGGCGGGTGCACGATGAAGCTTTGAGATCCTCAGGAAGAGGAGGAAGTGGAGGAGGAAGAGGAAGAGGAGGAGGAAGTGGTAGAAGAGGTGGAAGAGGAGGAGGAAGTGGAGTAAGAGGTGGAAGAGGAGGAGGAAGAGGAGGAGGAAGAGGAGGAAGAGGAGGAAGAAGAGGAGGAGAAGAAGGAGGAAGTGGAGGACGAAGAGGTGGAAGAGGATGAGAAAGAGGTGGAAGAGGAAGAGGAGGAAGTGGAGGAGGTAGAGATGGAAGAGGAGGAGGAGGAGGAAGAGGAGGAGGAAGTGGAGGAGGAAGGGGTGGAAGAGGAGGAGGAAGTGGAGGAGGAGGAGGAAGAGGAGGAAGAGAAGGAGGAAGTGGAGGAGGAAGAGGAGGACGAGGACGAGGAGGAAGTGAAGAGGAGGAGGAGGAAGAGGCGGAAGAGAAGGAGGAAGAGAAGGAAGAAGAGGAGGAGGAACTATAGATGCTAACTAAAGTATATAACTAGAGGTTGGAAATGCTGTGTATACATAGCACCACCGATCAAACCATGTGCACAGTCACCATGTGCTTTACCGCTTAGCCTTTGAGCAACGGATTCCCACGGGGGGGGAGGACGGGGGAGGTGTCGGCTTACGTTCAGGATGTCCTCTCGCTTGCGGGAGGAGAGGCGGGTCAGGCGTCTCTTCTGCAGGCACTCCCACCGAGCGGCCACCCGCTCTTGGCGCCCCTCCACGGCTTCCTTCTTACGACCCAGGATGTAGTTGGGGGTCACCCCAAAGTCCTGTGGAGGAAGAAGTGGGGCGCTTGGCCAGCCGGATGGGGAGGGGAGTGCCGATTGGCCATCTCTTTCCACGCTGGCTCCTCCTGGGGGAGGAGGGAGGAGGGAGGGAGCGCGATGCTGGTCCGGGGAATGGTGGGAGAGGCTGTCATGTCTGCCATCTATCTATCTTCGATCACCTCTCTCCATCTATTTTTGTCTATCAATCTCTATTCTCTCTTTCTTTTTTCTTTTTCTTTCTCTCTCTCTCTCTCTCTCTCACACACACACACACACACAGACATTTCTATTATCTATCCTTTATCACCACCTCTATTTTTGTCTTTCTCTCTCTCTCTCTCTCTCTCTATATATATATATCTATTTAACTCTCTCTCTCTCTCTATCAATCTACCTATCTATCATCTATTTATCTATATCTATTTATCATCCATCTCTAGCTATCATCTATCTATCATCTATCATCTATCTATTATCTATCATTTATCATCACCTCTATTTTTCTCTCTCTCTGTATCTATTTATCCCCCCTGTGTGTGTGTGTGTGTGTGTGTGTGTGTGTATTATACACACAATATCTATCTATGTCTATTTGTCTCTTTATCTATGTATTTATCTATATATCTCTATTATCTATCTATCATAATCACCTCTATTTCTCTCTTTCTCTCTCTCTCTCTCTCTCTCTCTGTATCTGTATTTCTCCAGTCTCTATCTATATCTATCATCTATTTTATCTATCATCTCTCTCTGTGTGTATTTCTATTTGTAAATCTATAATCTATCTATCATCTATCTATCAGCTCAATCTCTGCATTTGTATTTGTATATATATCTATCTGTCTTATCTATCATCTATCTATCTATCTATCTATCTATCTATCTATCTATCTATCTCTATCTATCAGTTCTCTCTGTCTCTATTTGTATATATGTCTGTCTGTCTATCTATCTATCTATCTATCTATCTATTGTCTATCTATCTATCTATCTATC